TATCTTAGCTCTAGCTCTTTGGGTTTTTTAAAAGAAGATTTTTTAAGCTTTTACTATATGCATATAGAGAAAATCAAAGACCCCCTGGGGCGGGGCCAATTTTGACCCCTGGGCTTTTATTTGAACAAACTTGGTAGACACTCACTAGAAGATGTTTCATGCTAAATATCTTAGCTCTAGCTCTTTGGGTTCTTTAAAAGAAGATATTTTAAGTTTTTACTATATGCATATAGGGAAAATCAAAGACCCTCTAAGGCGGGACCAATTTTGACCCCAGGGCTTTTATTTGAACAAACTTGGTAGACACTCATTAGAAGATGTTTCATGCCAAATATCTAAGCTCTAGCTCTTGGGGTTTTCTAAAAGAAGATATTTTTAGTTTTTTCTTTCGGTTGCCATGGCAACCAGAGTTCTGCATGGAATTAAATTCTTTGAACAATTTTTAAAGGTGACCACCAAAGGAACATTCCTGTGAAGTTTGGATGAAATTGGCTTAGTGGTTTATGAGGAGATGTCATTTAAAGTAAAAGTTTACGGACGGACGGACGACGGACGAAAAGCGATCACAAAAGCTCACCCTGTCACTTTGTGACAGGTGAGCTAAAAAGTGCATAAATTAAAGATCAATAATAAGATAAAAATCTTCATTAAACAATAATTGGGAAAAAACTTGCATCCATATAAAATAGGATGAGGTTTAAAGTATATTATTAGCTGTCAATATTTATAACATGCTATATGACCCAGTATTAACTATTATAAGTTAAATCAGTGTCTCTTTGAAAGCTTATATAACAAGCAGTCATATAACCTGAGAAAAGTGTTTATAATAAATTTATAATACAAATGCTTTCTTCAATTAAGATGTTACTTATTTATGAATTTGCAGCATCTGTGTATACAAATGTAACAAGTGTCAAATGAAAATCGATATTACAAACGTGTAAAACTCCAATTGTTGATACATTTTTAACAAAATAGTCATAACAAAGAATAGTGATACTGCCTCTAGCGCTCTTAAAAGGGGTTTCATTGTAGGAAAAATACCTATGAAGTTTTAAAGGCACTCACAATGTTTTATGAGGAGATCCTGTGGACAGGCAAAACATTATTAATTCTTTTGGTCTCCTTTCGTTTTCCTCTTCATTTTTCCAACGTCTATGAATGTATAAATTTTTTGACACATTCGTAAAAATCACACATGTTCTCTGATTAAAATGCCGTTAAATCCGAAGAAATTAATTCCTTCTTTCCCTTAATTGAATTTAAGTATAAGTATGTACACATACCAGTAAAATCTATAAACTATTCAATACAAAGAATAGTGTAGTAATCTTATTACCAGTATTTTTTTTATTTTCCTCACTCGTAGTAAATGTCTACGAGAATGATTCTTGCCGACCAGGTTCGTGTTTAACTGTGTCTGCATCATATTATTTGCTGCCATGGTAGACTGCATTACGATTATCAAACAAACAAACTACATTAAGTTTTATATTTTGCTATAGGTTCTTGAGAATATTCTCCTTAGAATTTCTCGAATTTGTAATTTGTTGTTTGATGTATCAAAACAGTAACACAACTTTACCACGTTTGTAAAGGAGGCAAGTTGTCTGTATAGATACGAAGTACGCTGCCTTTACATTTATAAGAAGCCCAGCAAAACATTTTCTTAGTAGTGAATGTTGTTGCAGCCAGAACTCCACATTCAAAAACCAAATCACAAATTGCAGGACTTATGAAAAATACATCTAGTGTCTGTGTTTGGTCATACAGCCTTAAATCTTTGTTTGGATTATATGATGTGTATTCTGTTCCTGATTGTACTTTAATGATAAATTTCTTTTCACTTAATTTGTCTGGAGGTTGACCTTTTCCTAAACCTGGTAACGGAGCATTAGTCCCCCGGACTACAGACTTTCCAGGACTGAGAAAATCGTTCCATTTCACTGTATTTACCATCTTAATATCTACTGTAAAGTTTTCAACAATGAGTCTGCATATTGACTTGTGTCGTTTCCAGTGATGTGTCTGACATTCCTTTGAACAGTAACTTGCCTTTTTACACTTCGCACAGTATTTTAATGTTTTGGAAATAGCATGACAGAAACAACAGGTTTCTAGAAGGACTGCCATCTTATTTGGATGTTGCTGGCCTCTATTGTTTTTCTCAAAAATATTCCTTGTAGTAATAATAGGTGGTATTGAAAATCTAGTGTTCTCATCATCCAACATACCTTTACTTTTCATCATCGGACTTGCGGGAAATGACCTTCTAAAATGATTCTTCACATCTGGTGTCAATGTGTGAATAGCAGGACCAGTATGATCCCGAATGGAATTTCCATCTAATACAACTACAGCAGAATAATTTATTCCAATCCTTATACCACCGCATTTATTCTCAAATATATCGTTGTTGCAAATATTTGCTGTTGATCTAGATTTTACCATCATTCCCCAAAGCCAGTTGTCAAAAATTTTGTTTCCGGATACATCATATGACCCTCCATCTAATGAAATTCCTGACATACCATTTTGATAGATCAAATTATCAAATATCTCGCATGTAGACCCACCTCCTGAATCTGTTGTGACTGCTAAACGTGATTTTCCTACAAATGTTATGTTGCCGCCACACCAGATACCTTCATTTTTGTTATTCTGTATAATACAATTTTTTATATGTCCTTTTCCCATTGGTCCTATAGCCACCCCGTGATACTGATTGTCACAAATTGAGCAATTTCCAACAATGGTAGTGCCACCATCTCTTGCTTCAATACCCATCTGTCTCATGTTACAAACAACACTGTTCTTGATCTTTAACACAGCCCCTCCTGTACTTACAGTTCCACCACCACCGCACCTATCAAGAAGACAATTGTCTATCAATACATTTCCATTTTTAGTTGCACAAATGCCTGGAAAACCAACAACGCCACTGGGATGCGGAGCTGACAAATTCCTTTTTTTCAAAAATAAAGTACTGCATTCGTCAGGATATGGATTGACACAACCGGAATTACCATCGCAAAATGGAAAGTTTTCGCATCCTTTTTTCCCGTTTGAGAATTTGCATTTGTAGAATATTGCATTAACATTAGTGTGGATTGTTATTTGACCAGTATCATTTGGAAAAGAGACGTTTTCAAAATAAACATTTATTTTTTGTTCGATCTGAAACTGGGGCATAAACTGTTTCGGATTTATTAAAGCAACGCCCAATTCGCTATGAATTTCAACTCCATCCTCAATGCCAATGATCTGAACACTTTTTGTAGTGATCTGCCCTTTATCAAGCTTAATTTGGTATCTGCCTCTACGCAAAAGTAATGTCGTGTACGTCCTATTCATCATGGACGATATCTCCTCGCCAAGTTCAGATTCATTGTCAACAATTATGTATCGTACCACGGGATATTCAATTTTCATCCTGTATTCAAGTAAGCATTGTTTGTTTAGGTGTCCAGCAACAGCTGCTGCAGCTAACCCGGCAGACTCCCAGGATTTGGGTAAAACTTCAAGACGTATGAGATTACTTATTGCATAGGCTTTCCAACAATAGGCTTTGAATGATTTCGGATCAATTTGTATGCACTTATCTGCATCACGTAAAGCATTCTCATAGTCGCATATTCTTAAGTATGCCAGACTTCTGTTCGTAAGACACTTTGTTATGTCAATGTTTTCATTACTTGCTGTGATCGCCTCAGAATAACATTGTATTGCAAGTTGATATCTTCCAGTCTTAAATGCATCATTTCCCATCTTGCGCAACGATTCTTTATCCAAAAGTGCGATAGTTTGGTCTTGACTTGAATCTGACGATGTATTCGATTCTGCTGGTATAACCATTGTTATGCTACTTTGAAGAATAAGTCTGTCATTCTGTAAAAGAGGTATCTTGATTCTAGTCAGATAATTATAGTCACGTTCTGAAATTGAAAGAGCCGGTATAATACTCAGCATTTGCGCCTGGCATGCTAAGGCCTCATCCTGCCTTTGGTACAAACTGTGATATATTGCACTAGTTTGTAAAATCCTTGTTGTTTCTATGTTAAAGCAGATGTGTTTCGATGTTTCATTTCTTTTTGTGTAGTCAAACAAATAAGTTTTGAGGGTGTTTGCATTGAGTGCTAACTTACTCCACATTTGCAAGGAAGCTCTGCCTATATTTTCCTCTTGTAATGCATCCATTGGTGATTGTGTGTTTTCTAACGCCATATTGACCATTCGTGATGCACACTGTAGGATGAAAGCATTTCTGTCTGCATCTTTCATATTCTGTCGAATTACCTCCTGAACTAATCGATGCACACTTATGCTATTAGTGGTACATCTGTTAAACAAAGAAAATCGTGATAGTATTTCGGCAACTTGCTTGATTCCCAATTCTTCTTCAAAAGTGTCGAGTAGATCTTCGTCAAGTACGTTTGGCGAGCCAACATTCAAAAGAATCATAGGGATATCGTCAGCATATAGGAAGGCCGCAATTTCCATCACAGTTCTTGCTGAATTTCCAAGTCCATCTTCTTCAGATTGTTTTTGAATGTATTCAAAGTTTAATTGCCAAGTTGTTCGCACCGCTAAACGTTCTTTTGACACTTCATATTGTGATCTTATTGCTTTGAGTACACCTAATCTCTTCCGATTAAATTTCTTCAGATACTCATCAAATGAACAGTGTAAAGCTTTTATATAAGCAGCTGCTTGTTCCAAAGCAAGTGGAAGTCCACCGAGCTCTTCTGCTAATTTTATGAGACTGTCGTCAATTTTACCATTCTGATCTGAACGTATCATCAAAAATTTTACACTTTCATTTCTATTTAAAACATCTAAAGAGATGCAGTCATCCAATCTCACATAAAATGTCTCTTCTGCGTTCTCTGCTTTTCTCCGAGAAGTGATAATGATATGCCCCTTTGAACCCTTTTTCCAAGGTGAGAGAAGTATTTCTTTCACACTTCCCTGAATTTCCTCCATGTCTACGTTGTCGATTACAAGCAGCCATCTGTCTTGAACACAGCACAACCATTTAAGTGTTTAACAAGCGTTTCTTTAGCATTCTGTCCGACAGTATTTGTGTCTATAGCAAGGCGTTGTACAGAATCTTCCAATGCTTCATTTGTTTCTGCTGACATCCAAAACACACCTCCAGGATAAAATGTTTGAAATGTCCATGCATATTCCACCGCCAGTGTTGTTTTACCTATTCCCCCTAATCCGCAAATAACTTGTGTATGTGTTTCACTACTTCGAATTTCAAACACTTCTTGCAGTTGTTCCAATTCATCTTGTCGACTAACAAATGTAGAAACCCTGTCCGGGGGATAGAAGAATAATTTCCCATTTGGTCTTACATATGATAGGTATTTTGCTATATTAGCGATATCCAAAGTATTTTTATCGACGTCCGATTTTGTACTTTGAAAGTTAAGTGTACTAATTTTAAGAGCTTCTTGTGTCCCCTTTAGTTCATTCTTCACACCAGTTACCTCTGTATCTATATTATGCAATTCAGTCTTCATCTTTTCAACACTTTCAAAATCTGCTTTATGTGAATCTTGCATACCTGTCACCGCATCTGTCAACGACAGTATGTCCCCATTCATCTGAAGACTCTGAGTTTCAATGTTATTTATTCTTTCAAGTGTATTGTTTAACGAACTTTCTATTGACAGTATAGATTTGTGAACAACTTGAAAGCTCATATCATTTTTTGAAACAACATCTAAAATGAACTTACTTAATGCTCTAGTCTCATTTTTAAGTTCTTGCACCAGTTCAACTCCAAGTGTTGTCCCTTGCAAAAATTGCAGACCTGTAAGATAAATTATCTTTCATATTCCATAAGTACCCAAAGCTATCACACTTATAATTTCATAAATTGTTTAGATAATCGAAATTTGTATATAAATGTAAAAAATGTTTTAATAATTATGACCTCATTCATATTGTAAGAAAAGTAAATCAAAGTTCCTGCCATTAGCTTATCGAAAGAATATCTTAAATAAAACATGTCAAACGAACCATTTGTTTGCCACTGCATCAGTTGGGCAAGAATTTCTGTCTCATCTTGAACTGGAAGTAACAGATTTTTTATGAACTGTTGCATCAGTTGGAATGAGTTTTGGTACTTGATCACGTCCCACTCGGAAAAGTTGCAGTGTGCCCAAGGATTTCGAATATCAGACCTTAACTGTAAAACAATTTTTTTATTTTCAAATATACCTTTATAAATGACAGGAGATCGTATAAATTAAATGTCTAAATGTATACTGTCACAGGCAATGTATATATATGTATGTCTAGTGTTACTGTTGTAAACTTATAATTCGTTTGACATCATTAAACATATTTGCACGCCTTGTTTGTTTTATTTCAAATAAATCAATGATTTGAATCGTTCGAAGATCCTTAAAGATTTTAAATAAAGTGATACAGTAATTTAAATATTTTTAAAAAAATAAGTACCTTTTTAGCCGTTTTTTGTGGTAGAACTGGGAAAGTATCTATATTAACAATGATCCCCAGGAGAGCTGAGGAGTCACACGTGTCATCGAATCCGGTATAGTGTGCCATGCTGGTAATCATGAACAGTTTAGTCAGATCTACATCGTTTGTTACATCATAGTTGTATTTCTGTTCATCCTTTTTCCCTTTCACTTTTGGTATGGCACTGTTGTTATTGATCGCCTCGTAGTTCAATTCTTTGTTTGTAGGTTTATAACGCTTCATGTGTTTAGCAAATGTTTGTGCGTCTATCTTGTCTGTTTGCTTCAATTTGTTGTAGAGTTGGCTTACAACAGGGGGGATATACTTTCTTAATGCAGGAGATATGACACTGTGTAGACATATTCCAACAATCAGCCATCTTTTTTGGTCATCTTCTATATCAGGTTTAACTACTGTATAAAATAAAAAAAAAAAAAAAGAATTTTAAATTACAATATGAAATCAAGTTCCGTGCTATACGGTTAGTTAGAAAAGTTTGTATGATATTTGTTGACATAAAACGTGTGAGTACCTACACTTACCTCAAGTCAGAATATTAAACCACTTATTGTTCGTTAGATATACAGTTTTCTATAGAAACAGAAAAGTTATAAAATGTTTTGGCCAATTAAAATGAAAGTTACTTTGTTTGCCAGACGCTAGAAAGATGCTAAAACTGCAGCTTGTAAGGTGACCTGATGTCAATTCTACAAATTTTCAAAACTGCTACAGAGCTCAAATTAATACGACACTATTTTATTTCCTACCATTGAATTGCCGTATTCCAAATAGCTTTACATATCGTTTATTAGCACAGAGTGCTTTAAATTAATTCTTAAAACTTGTATTAAAATATCACATGTACGTTCACGACATTACTCTCCTGAAATAGCAATAACTATTTGAATACCTAATTTTAATATATAAATACTATACAACAACGTTCGAACTGCTGCTGCTGTAACTACGTCAGTAAATTCCCGTAACCTAGTTTAAACTCTAATGTTCATGCCTTCAGATCAACCACAATATATCCAAAAAACAACCTTGAGACAAATGAACTTAGACTTTTAAAAAGTAAAAAGTACTCACAATTCAAACAAGAGGGCCATGATGGCCCTTAAGTCGCTCACCTGTATATAGGCCCCCGGAGCGGGGCCAGTTTAAACCCCAGGGCTTTTATTTGAACAAACTTGGTAGACACCCATTAGAAGATGTTTCATGCTAAACATCTAAGGTCTAGCTGGTCAAGTTTTTTCTTTACACATATAGTTAAAAACAATGACACACCTGGGGCAATGCCAGTTTTGACCCAAGGGCTTTTATTTGAACAATCTGTGTAGACACTTACTAGAAAATGTTTCATGCTTAATATCTAAACTCTAGCTATTCGTGTTTTTTCAAAGAAGATTTTTAAGTTTTTTGCTATACACATATAGGAAAAATTAATGTCACCGGGGCGGGGCCAATTTTGACCCCAGGGCTTTTATTTGAACAAACTTTGTAGACACTCACTAGAAGATGCTTCGTGCTTAATATCTAAACTCTAGCTATTTGAGTTTTTTCAAAGAAGATTTTTTAAGTTTTTGTTATACACATATAAGGAAAATGAATGACCCCCGGAGCAGTGCCAATTTTGACCCCAGGGCTGTTATTACAACAAACTTGGTAGACACTCACTAGAAGATGTTTCAAGCTTAGTATTTAAACTCTAGCTATTTGGTTTTTTTTCAAAGAAGATTTTTTAAGTTTTTGAAATACACATATAAGAAAATCAATGACCCCCGGGGCAGGGCCAATTTTGACCCCAGGGCTCTTATTTGAACAAACTTGGTAGACATCCATTAGAACATGTTTCATGCTAAATATCTTAGCTCTAGCTCTTTGGGTTCTTTAAAAGAAGATTTTTTAAGTTATTACTATATGCATATAGGGAAAATCAATGACACCCTGGGGCGGGGCCAATTTTGACCCTAGGGCTTTTATTTGAACAAACTTGGTAGACAACCATTAGAGGATGTTTCATGCTAAATGTCTTAGCTCTAGGTCTTTGGGTTCTTTAAAAGAAGATTTTTTTTATGTTTTTACTATATGCATATAGGGAAAATCAATGACCCCCGGGGCGGGGCCAATTTTGACCACAGGGCTTTTATTTGAACAAATTTGGTAGACACCTATTAGACAATGTTTCATACTAAATATCTTAGCTCTAGGTCTTTGGGTTCTTTACAAGAAGATGTTAAGTTTTTACTATATGCATATATGGAAAATCAATGACCCCCTGGGGCGGGGCCAATTTTGACCCCAGGGCTTTTATTTAAACAAACTTGGTAAACAACAATTAGAGGATGTTTCATGCTAAATATCTTAGCTCTAGGTCTTTGGGTTCTTTACAAGAAGATTTTTATTTTTTTTGCTATACACATATAAGGAAAATCAATGACCCATGGGGCGGGGCCAATTTTGACCCTAGGGCTCTTATTTGAACAAACTTGGTAGACATTCATTAGAACATGTTGCATGCTAAATATCTTAGCTCTAGCTCTTTGGGTTCTTTAAAAGAAGATTTTTTAAGTTTTTACTAAATGCATATAGGGAAAATCAATGACCCCTGGGGCAGGGCCAATTTTGACCCCAGGGCTTTTATTTGAACAAACTTGGTAGACACCCATTAGAGGATGTTTCATGCTAAATATCTTAGCTATAGGTCTTTGGGTTCTTTTAGAGAAGATTTTTTAAGGTTTAACTATATACATATAGGTAAAAATCAATGACCCCCTGGGGCGGGGCCAATTTTGACCCCAGGGCTTTTATTTGAACAAACTTGGTAGACATTCACTAGAAGATGTTTCATGCCAAATATCTAAGCTCTAGCTCTTTGGATTTTTTGAAAGAAGATTTTTCTTTTGGTTGCCATGGTAACCAGAGTTCTGCATGGAATAAAATTATTTGAACAATTTTCAAAGGTGACCACCAAAGGAACATTCCTGTGAAGTTTGGATGAAATTGGCTTAGTGATTTATGAGGAGATGTCATTTAAAGTAAAAGTTTACTGACGGACGACGGACGGGCGGACGCCGGACGAAAAGCGATCACTAAAGTTCATCCTGTCACTTTGTGACAGGTGAGCTAAAAATAAGTTACATGTTATGCGCAATTAAAGATGATTTTTTTCAGTATTTATCTTGATATTTTCACTGCATGACTAAAGCAGTAAGGATTTTTTTTGCAAAATCTGATTTTTGTACATGTATATTTTATGTGTAAAAAACCCTGGACGTGAAGATCGTGGCGAATTTGTGTTGGGTAATAAAATACTTTTAAAAGATTCTCAAGTTTCATCTTTTATTGTTCTTTTTCGGCTGAGGCCGTATGGTTTGGGTTGTTTGTTTTATTAGGGTTTACGTCAAACCGACACAGGATAGGTCATAAGGCGACGTTCCAGCTTTACTGGTGGAGGAAGACCTCATGTTGTGTGTTGAACTTCTTGTAAAACTTACAGGGAAGAGCTTAATATTTGTAAACATTTCATTGGTCATTTTAAAATTACAATCTCGGAATCTGATAGGCCAATGTAAAATTGTTGTTAAAGTAATATATAAAGGATTTTTTCTGACATGGCAAACGCGTCCACTTTCAAATTGATCAAAAGGAGTTCTGGAAACGAACCACAATGTATCATACAGTTATAAGTTCTTTAACTATCAAGATAATGCATCCTCGTACAGATTATTTTTCGCTATAAATTTTGCCAAAAATTAACGAAACCACCACTTAAAATGCAAATAGAAAGTTTTTTCCCCAAACCAAATCTGTCCATGTGCAAAAATCGTTTTAATTCAGTCGAGTATCTTTTTTAAAGATCCTTCTTGTTTATTCTTTCGTAACGCCGTTTTTCTAACAGGAAAAGACACATAGGTCTAACATCTCTGAAACAAATCTTCTTTTACGATGGTTACTTCAATTGTACAACTGTGGTGTACTCTCCAGAACTTATCTGACAATATTTTACTTTTAATAAAGTTTTAACAATTTCGTGAATGTTTACATGAATCTGGAGGCTTGTAGCTATAGATTATCAAAGTAAACTGCCGCTGTACTGGGATGAATCGGCGAAAATTTATGACTTTTTATGTCGGCTCTACAAAGTAGTGGAAACATCTAGGGCTCACTTCTCCGTCTTCCGTCTGTCCATCTGTAGGTCTGTCACACAACACTTGTCTATCCTTAAAACTACTAGAGCAAGTTCATCCAAACTTAACAAGAATGAATATTTGGATGAAATTGAACGTATAGTTTCTGAGGAGTAGTCCAGACAAGCTTTTGTGTAGCTGGCAACACCTCATAAAAACTCCTTTTTTATTTAAGGGCCAAAACATTCAACCGGAAAACCCGTGTAATATGCCCAAGTACCTAAGCTACAGATAAATCCTGTAAAGTTTCATTGCCAGTGCATAAGTGGTATACGAGTCCGGACAAATTCATTAGGCGACACATGTGATCTCTGATGATCGATCGTGTTACCCCAAACGTTTCCATTGAATTCAAAAAAAATGTAATTTACTCTTACCTTGACTTGAAGATACTTCATTGGCAATATCAACAATTATAAGTTCAGCTTCTGGCTCGTTCAATCGGGATGAAAAATCTTCAAAGTTGAAGGACGAAGAAAAGTTTCCAGTGTTGAAAGTCGTCATTGTGAAATTGTTTGGTAAGTTGTTTCTTCTCTGTAAGCCTTTAAATACAAACACATACTCTCAACTTAAGAGTCTTACTTAAATTATTGTTTTAATTTTGTTTCAGAATATCCAATTGTGCAGAATGTTGAAATCAAAACATTCAGTAAAAGTTAACATATTGATCCTATAGTAAAATAAGAAGTGACAGATAAAACAGACGACAGAATAACATGTTGAAATACTTAAATAAAATTTAATGTTAAACTGGTTACACATAATACGTACATGTACTACGGGATAGATAACAATTTATATATCAAACTGTCATCGTTTTTGCCCTAACGTATCTCATAAATATTGATAAATTTAATATACAGGTAAAGTGAAATCGTATGACAGATAACACGTATTTAATTTCTAAATAATCATTTTATGTATGTACTTACATGATTATATATAATTCAGTAAGGGGGTATGTAGTAGATCATCAATCCGAAGTTTATTCTCTATCACCGCCTGCTTTTCTCACGAAACTTGTAAAGTGGACTGCCTTCTCAACAAAGAAATGACCACGTCTAAAAAAACACCACAAATAACAACAACCTCACAAACGTCTGAAATCATATACATGTACCTGAAATAAATACATTTCATACTAAATATTAAAAAACACATGAACCTCATTGTAAAAATCAATTTTACTTGTCTAACATTTAGTATTCTACTTGAAAATTTGAACACAATTGTCAAGAATAGCCAACTTTTCCAATCCTGATGAACATCATACGCTGTTGTGTATTCTTCTCAAACAGCAATCTGAAAATACGTCTTAAGTAAGTGTCGTGATTATAATCATTCTTTTGAATACCGTTTAGATGGAACAGCTGAATTCCGAGCTGACACACCTGAAACACTCACACCTGGCACGTGCATTTTTACAACACATCAGTTGATATCATATATTAGATACTGAAACTTGAAAATAAAACAGTTCTAAATATTAAGAAGCGCAAATATCCTCTTCAATTTTTTTTCTTATTTGTAAACTTGAACCTGGCAAGTTAGAAACTTACCGACTGAAAATATTTATACAAATTGCATTGTTTCGACATGACACCGCTTGTTTGAAATGTACTTTAACCATTACACGTGTGATTTAAAGTCGGTAAGCTGCGAATGAAATTGGTAATTACTGGTTAGTTATGAAGGAAAACCGGTTTGATGGATTGTTTTCAGAGATATCACGAAATCGGCTAAAACCAGACAGTCAAAGAATCAAAACACCGTAAATATTAAAGGCATCATGTAAGGATATTCCAACCGGAGATATTACATCGGCATGTAAACATATCCAATATACATATCATATTACCTTCTTGTCTTATTTGGTGTAAATTCATTGACATAAAAATAAAAATTATATTTTTTGCTGATAATTCCTAATACAACAATAAAAATGGTTCAATTATCCACTTCTTTTTCAAAATAATCTCTTATTTGATTATATAATCGTATGACAAGTCGTATAATTAATTTGAGTCTGATTTTCGGACACCTTTGTAAATCATCATGTACATCTTATTTTCTCCAGGTGATAAAGATGACACACTCTGTGTGACAAGTCACGTGGTAAACTACTCTCTTCTATCGTGATTGTTGGCTAGGTGTTCCGAAACGACACAGTTTTTTCTAGATTTGAAAAGCATAAACCGGATACCTAGTGTTTCCACAAAAACAAATGTGTAACAGTTATTTGTCTTTGGCACCATCAACAATTAAAATAAAATAAACAAAATCTTGACAACTACGGTATTATACAAATGCATCCAATTTCATATACATGTATTTCAACAGACTATTGTTGTATGTAGGAATGTATTTTGCTTGAAGAAACAATAAGTGTTTTATGAAATATTCTGAACATCGAACCCTTACATATCAATATCATCTAAAGCAAACCCAAGAACAAACAAATGGACAGACACAAGGAACATACACAAGGAACATAGAACATACACAATGGACATACACAAGGAACATACACAAGGAACATACACAAGGAACATACACAAGGAACATAGAACATAAACAAGGGACATAGAACATGCACAAGGAACATAGAACATACAGAAGGGACATACACAAGGAACATACACAAGGGACATACACAAGGAACATAGAACATGCACAAGGAACATAGAACATACACAAGGGACATACACAAGGAACATACACAAGGAACATACACAAGGAACATAGAACATAAACAAGGGACATAGAACATGCACAAGGAACATAGAACATACAGAAGGGACATACACAAGTAACATACACAAGGGACATACACAAGGAACATAGAACATGCACAAGGAACATAGAACATACACAAGGGACATACACAAGGAACATACACAAGGAACATACACAAGGAACATAGAACATAAACAAGGGACATAGAACATGCACAAGGAACATAGAACATACAGAAGGGACATACACAAGGAACATAGAACATGCACAAGGAACATATAACATACACAAGGGACATACACAAGGGACATAGAACATACACAAGGAACATAGAACATGCGAAAGGAACATAGAACATGCACAAGGGACATACACAAGGAACATGGAACATACACAAGGGACATAAACAAGTGACATACACAAGGGACAAACACAAGGGACAAACACAAGGAACATACACAAGGAACATACACAAGGGACAAAGACAAGGAACATGTACAAGGAACATAGAACACACACAAGGAACATACACAAGGAACCTACACAAGGGACATACACAAGGAACATACACAAGGAACATAGAACATACACAATGGACATACACAAGGAACAAACACAAGGGACATACACAAGGGACATACACATAGAACATACACAATGGACATACACAAGGAACATACCCAAAGAACATAGAACATACACAAGGAACATAGAACATACACAAGGAACATACACAAGGAACAAACCAAAGGGACATAAACAAGGAACATACATAAGGGACATACACAAGGGACATACACAAGGAACATACACATTATACTTAGAACATACACAAGGGACATACACAAGGGACATACACAAGGAACATACACAAGAAACATACACAAGGGACATACACATTGAACATACACAAGGAAGATACACAAGGAGCATAAACAAGGGACATACACAAAGAACATACACAAGGAACATAGAACATTCTCTATGCAGAAGGTTTGGAAAAAGTCATGCATTGCAGCTTCTTAAGGTGATTCAGCTTTGTCAGCCATGTTTGTTTTCACTAAGTGGGTCCAAAGTGAAAGCAGGTCAAACTTCATTGAACATTTTGCAATTACAATTCCAGGTCGACTTATATAATATTTACTGTCGCACAACGTCAAAACAAAGGAGACATATAAAGTTATGGAAGCCAGAACTATGAGTAAAAAATGTATTTAATGTTGTTTTTGTTCTTCATTTGCCTATGAAAGACATTGCACATCATGCAATCACAAAACATCACCTCTGAACACTTTGTTAATTCGCAAAATTATGTTTAGAAATATTGGAACCATAGAGAAAAGATGAATAGTTAAACTAGTACTGTCGCCTATAACTGTATAAAATATAATGCATACGAAAATTCAAAACACACACCAACTCCACAGGTGCGCATCCAGTCTTGGTGCCCATATAAAAAAATTGAAGTTAAAAAAAAAAAAAAAAAAACATCAAAATAACTATTTTGGGTTGAGTGTAAGAAAAAAAAAATCGAATTTTTTTTTTCCTTTATACCATTACTACGAAAAGGTCACCTAGTCGCCGTAACGCTATGGAGCTTTGTGGAACAACCACAATGTCGAGTTCTGTAACATTACAAGCTATTTTGCTACTCTTTACACATCATGCATTTAGAAAATTGTTAACATTCTTCTTCTACCTTACATACAATCTTAAATAACTTACATTTAAACTCGGACACTCCAATTTGTTAAAATCTTGCCAAATTCCGTTGATGGTCGGCCATTTTGTCGAAAACGAAAGTACAAAACCTACATCGTACTGTTCCGCTCTCCTGGTTTCCAACGACTACGTGCGCAGAACAGAAGACAACGGTAACCATCAATTTATTGGTTACTGTTGTCTATTGTTCAGCGAACGTAGTCGTAGGGGACCAGAACAGCGAAACAGTACGGTGTTTGTTTTGTACTTTCGTAAATGGTATATAGGGAAAAAAATCAATTTTTTTTTCTTACAATCAACCCAAATTAAATAGTTATTTTGATGTTTTTTGTTTTGTTTTTTTTATTTATTTTTTTTAACTTCAATTTTTTTATATGGGCACCAAGACTGGACGAGCACCTGTGACCAACTCTAGATCTACCTCAGTTTTCGTTAAAAAGTCATGCCGTGAACAATTAAGCTGGAGCCAAACAGAGATGTAATCAATAATTAATAACATGATTAGCACAAAAGACAGACAAAATTAGTAAATATCAACTAAAATTTACTTACATACGTCAGCGTTACATACCAATAATATAGATCTATAATAGCCGAGACAGTTCCGAATGCGTTACATACTTGAATGACTCACAATCGTAACAACTCGGCAATCTCCGTCAAGTTCGGAGATTGACCTCGTACGTAAGTGTAGGAATACACCAAATTGTTATACGGCCCGGCAAAGCACCGATTTTGATCATTGATGTAAACAAAGATGGCGGAGTTCTCTCAGCTGTTTGTTATATGCGTTGAAAGAAATGAAAAATGATTTAAATTTAAATCATGAACAAGAAAAAGCGCAAGAGAACATGAGTCCGGTATTAAAAGCAGGTCTTTAACATGAATTATACATAAATTATACAATAGATATAGATCTATATGAGTATTCATTCGAGAACTCGGATGCTCCTCTGTGCACCAGAAAAAAATATAAACATGCTCCATCACTAGTTCACAGGCACTAGACACAATTTATTTATCCATATCCATATAAGAAAAAACAACATCAAACTATAAGAAAATGATCGCACAAACAGTGAAGTATAAGTAACACACTTATAAAGGTGCTTATTAATTAACTGATTAATTAACCAGTGTTTAACAAATTCTTTCACACTTCTAATTGTTCTTATAAATATAAAAACATATTTTAATTAATCAATGGTTTTATTTAAGGTATTTAATTTTTTGACAACAAAAAAAAATGAATAAATAAAGACTTATAGCTGATTATTCTCTCAGAACTCATATAAATTATTATTTTAATAATTATTTTTTAAGGGAAAATTCACTATTTTTTTGCCAAAAAATATCTTCTTTATATCATAAATGTAATTGTGTGCAAGTATGCGTTACGTTACATATGATATTATAACTCATAATGGTATTTATTTTATATATTTATCAAATTTAAAAAGGGTGCCGAAAAGACCAGGGTTTTGAGGCTGAAACGTCCAGAGCTGAAACGTCCAGGAGATGTAAAGTCCTGAAATCGCCTGATTGACCATTCATATTTCTAAAAGAAGTGATTTTTTTTATTGAAAGGTCAAATTTGTTAAAATCATTGGGACCTGGCCTTAAAATTTGCAAAAAATTGTTGATACTGGTCAAAATTACCCTCAGGATTCCATGGAAACCCTGTGACCCTGAACCACAGACCTTTTTTTTACCTTATTCAACATTGTTTTGCAAGTGATCATTATATTAAATATGTACTTGTACAGGTCCAGTAAAGTTGTATATTCATAAATTGTCTATAAAGTTTTAGATAAGGTGTAAATTAACAGAATTTTCATAAAGATTGAGAGGATTTCATGAGAGGAACTTTCATGCTAAGTGGTGCATTTTATAATGTAACTTGTTTCACCTTAATGATACTATAAAAAATGCTTAATATCAACTGTGTAATTTAGTTCAATAATCTTTCATTGTAACTAAAGTATCTACATGCATACAGTAATTATCAGTTCCACTTTAAGATATGAAATTTAAAAATGGGTTAAAGTTAGTACATGTAACCTGTAATGTACAGAAAAGGAAAATTAAAGGAAAAAGTAATATATTCATGTAAAAAAAAATATATATCATATAAAAATTACAATTACAAGTTAACCAGATAGCTCAGCTGGTAGAGCATCCTAGACTTTGTATAGACAGGGTTATAGGAAGGCCTCAGGTTCAAGTCCTGATCTGGTTGTTACTTGTATAATACTAATTCAGGCTATTTTCGTATAAGTATTAATTATATCTAAATATTTCAGAATGTTTAATAAATTTATGTACTTCACAAAAAATTAATTCATTTTTTACAGCAGTAAGTGATGAGTTTCCAAATAAGTTTTTCTTTATTTAAGGGTTGAAAAGGTCTTAATAGCTAAAAATAAGATGCAATTGTTCCATTATCGGAATACCCAGCTTATTATCATTGAGTTACAGTAAAAGTTGTGGCACCCTATTATAACTGACACTGAAAATTTCATTGATAGAAATTTTTATATATTTTTTTATTGTTTTTTTATTTGATTTCCTTTTATATATAAATGTTTAGTCTACAGATGGACAAGCCAATGCCCAAAGGCCCTTGACTTCCCCATATAAAATAAAATTCTGTGATCATCAATTCCCTATTACTCACTCCACATTCTTAATATATTTTTTAAGATCTTTAACACTGTGAAAAATTAATGTACTAAAACAATATTATATCTTAAATAAATAAGTTAATTAATCAAAAAATATTCCAAATATGGCGAATTCTTGAAGTCGCCCGAGGTGTTCCGATTGGAATGACTCATAGTACGCGCTGCTGACTTTTTTCGAAGTATAGAGTCCCATCCGGTACATTTCATAAATACCCGATGATAATTTTAGACCTCAGTTTATACGTAAACAAAATTCTAAAAACTATTGTTCATCTTAAACAATTTATAGCCTCTGTCAACAATGTTTATTTTTTCGATAAATTACATGTATTTAAAGTTAATATACCAATGATACATTACTCATATCATATTTTTTTTAAAACTGAGTAAGTTATAGAACTTTGGCCCTGTTCTATTCATAGCCGCTGTAACGTTGTAAACTGACCCTCATAAAATAATGAACCCCCGGTCAATATTTTATATAAAATAATGCCCTCCCCAGGTCCTAATATTATGACTCCCCTACACGTAGAAAAATTACCCTTGCCCCAACCCCCAACCCAAACTATAAAGCCCTTACTGGATTTTTTTCAAAGGAACATTCTCAATATAATTATCTCGGATGAGAAATATGTTAATGTCAATTTTTCCGTCCGTTTGTCCGTCCGACCGTGCAAAGATTCGACCTAAGATTGGGCCAAATTGTTTCAAACTCTCGGGGATAGCTACTTTAATCGAACCCCAGCCTCAGTCTGCATTTTCTACAAATGACAACGGCTCGGGGTATTTTATTCGACTGTTCTTATTAGCTCGGCTATACGAAGTATATCGAGAGCTGTCCTACTCGCCTCGACGTCGGCGTCCGCGTCCAGATTTAACATCAACCTCAAAGTTCACAACTCATGTTCCAATATTTTCAGATTTATCTCCCCTTAAACTTAGAATTTTCCTTAAAAATATTTTTTTACTGTTACTTCTTTATCAATTAAGGAATAAACTTCATACTTCAAATATATGTTCCTTATCATCAACCACATCTTATGTAACAAGGTTCATAACTCTAGCACCAATATTTCAAGAATTATCTCACCATGAATTTAGATTTTTTTTTACTATAACTTCTTTAGTTTTAAAGGTATCTACGTCAAACTTCAAAATCATATTCCTTATTATCAACCGCATCTTATGTGACAAGGGTCATAACTTTTGAAGCAATATATTTAGATTTATCTCCCCTTAAACTGAAAATTTTCTTTAAGAAATATTATAACTTATTTATTTTTAAGGTATCTTACTTCAAATATATATTTCTTATCATTACCCACATGTTGTGTGACAAGGTTCATAACTCTAGCGTGACTATTTCCTGAATTATTCCCCCTTGAACTTGGAATTTATATTAACAAATGATATCTTTTACTATAACTTCTTGTCATATGGATAAGAGTTACAAAACGCAAGCTCCTGTATAGACCTTTTTACGACGCGGTCCGTTGCTATGAAAAATCGATCGGAAGTAGTATTTTCTGGCGCATGCGCAATCTGCGTAGGGCAAAAAATGCATAGCATAACATAGAAATACAGAAGAAGTTCATAGACAATTCCGAGTAAGTTTAAGGTAAAAGGTAGAAAAATATGTAAATTAGCTTTTAACAAAAATAGAAAAGATTCCTTTATAGTTTTGTGGCCAAGATTGCGATACAAAGGCATTGAAAAGGAAATTGTTTAAGAATTTCCCCTTACGGTCACGGACCTGACTTTGAGATTTCTTTTTAAGAAAATGTGGAACTATATCTATCATTCAAATGGGAGTCAGCTAAATTGTTGTTAAAATAGTTCATAAAAAGATAAAAGAAATTTAATGACATATGAAATCGAGGTTAATTATCATTAATTATCACGGTAATAATGCATTTTTAGAGTTCAGTTTACCTGATTTTATCCTTTATTTGACTGTGATGCAAAGCAAACAATTTTTAAGTCACATTTATATATTTTAAACAGTTAATTTTTTTTGAATATCTTTAAGGAAAGTGAAATAACACACATTTTATCATGTTGGTGAAGTTGGAAGCCTACCAGCCTGAAGTTGGCAGCCTACCAGCCTGGCAGCCTAACAGCCTGGCAGCCTAAAGAAAACTAAGGATAGTACAAACATGAAAACAGTCGGAAATACATAAGTAGCACTTTTTTTAGATCATTCCACGCCTTTTTTCAATATCGTGATCTTTATTTTTTAAGATGTTATAAAAAAGATGTTTTAAAAAAATAAAGACTGCGATACTGAAATAAGACGTGGAATGGTCTAAGTATGTGCTACCGATTCATTTCGGACGGTTTTTTTATGTTTGTACTATCCTGCTAGTTCAACATCTAAAAAAATAAAGATCACGATATTGAAAAAATGCGTGGAATTATTAAAAGAAGTGCTACTTATGTATTTCCGACTGTTTGCATGTTTGTAGTATTCTTAGTTTTCTTTAGGCTGCTCGGCTGCCAG